CATATAGAGTGTTGCATGTGTATGCAATATATATAATGTACATGTCATACGCATATTAACAAAAAGTACTATAGCGACTTCCTGAAGTGGCATATGGATAGACGGCATAAGTATTCAGGACAATGTCTTTGCATATAAATATGGAACCGGCATCCTCCGTAGAATGGGCTTGAAAACCTGGAGGTTGTGATTCTACAAAGAACCTGGAGGCTTTGAGTTTGTATGATTAGTGCGATGGTCTTGTTTGCACTCCTGAATGTAACCTGTGGGTCATGATCCTGTTTTCTCCAAATGGATTTTCCTAACGCCGTGTGCAACTTGTCGGTCCTGATTCGATAGGGGAAATATGCTTCTGTAAAGGCACCTATACTGTATATTTAATCTGTGGGTCGTAATTCTGCACTCATTGAAGTGTGTCTTATAAGGAAGAAATACACCCAGTGCGTGCCGTGCAGTCACCCAGAGAGAAACAGATGGCAGACGTCTTAAACTGCCATGTCAAGATTGTCTTTTGTGGAAGGCATAGAGTAGACCAATAATGGCTACGAATTAACTGATTACCTTTCAAGCTTGGCTAAACTCTCTTAAGTATATGCTAAGGCCAAGACCATCTATATGATATTGTGGGGAAACATAGTCACAACTACACCCCCAGAATGGAACTGCATAGCACGGAACAGTCTGTCCCGAAACATTGCACCCAAGATACCAGACATTTCCACACCATGTTCGAGGCTTTTGAACAAAGTCTGCATACATCACGATTAAGGTCCTTGTTTGACATGATTCTATGGGGAAAAGGCAGTAATTCTGTAGACACCACAATTTGTGCCGCCCGGTTTAAGACTACACTACCGCCTGAATTTGAACCCACAGGTTCCACCCCTTGATTGGCAGCAGGATGAATATAGTATAAAGTATGATGGGGATTGAACCACGCACCAAAAGTAACAATGGCTTATTGTAAGTGCGTAGATTTCCTGACCATCAACAACCATTTATAATAAGGGTTTATAAACCATCTATTGACTTGTACTGTATCATAAGGCTATATAAGGTATAATAAGCGCTTAACCATTCTTAATCAGGGCTTATTAACGATCATGAACCAGCTTTTTCAATTGCAAGATGCATTTCATTATCGTAATTATATTCCATCACTAAGCCTCATTCAGGAGAAAAGATCAACCATCATTAACCATGATTAACCACCTATTAATACGGCTTGGGAATCCTCGAATGATGATCAATGATGCTAAATTAATCAGCTATTCAAAGGCTTATTGCATTATTACACACACATATATATTAATATTTATATGTCATATATTTTACATATACATAAATATTATAATTACATACATTTTTAATTACATATTTAATACCGTTAATAATATTATTAACCACCATTAATAAGGCTTACTGTCTTTGGATCGTCTCGCCAGGAATCCTCGAAGTTGGTCCGGGACGCACTGAACGCTCTTAGACCCGAGGCTCGTGGGCTCGTGGCTGACTAATGGTGTTTTATTAAGCATAATAATGGTTATAGTACCCTCTGGTAAACTAACATAACTATGGAAAATCACCTTTTTTAATGGGAAAACTCACTATAAATGGCCATTTTCAATAGCTATGTTACTGTACCAGAGGGTAGCCAATAGTAGCCAATACTGGTTGGTGGTTTCAATCATTTTTTATTTTCCATAATATATGGGATAATCCTTCTCAACTGTCTTTCATATTCTTCAAGATGGTTAAAACCACCAACCAGAATAATAATGGCGTTTTATTAAGCACAATAATGGTTATAGTACCCTCTGTTAAACTAACATAACTATGGAAAATCACCTTTTTTAATGGGAAAACTCACTATAAATGGCCATTTTCAATAGCTATGTTAGTGTACCAGAGGGTAGCCAATAGTAGCCAATACTGGTTGGTGGTTTAAATCATTTTTTATTTTCCATAATATATGGGATAATCCTTCTCAACTGTCTTTCATATTCTTCAAGATGGTTAAAACCACCAACCAGAATAATAATGGTGTTTTATTAAGCATAATAATGGTTATAGCACCCTCTGGTAAACTAACATAACTATGGAAAATCACAATTTTTAATGGAAAAATTCACTATAAATGGCCATTTTCAATAGCTATGTTAGTGTACCAGAGGGTAGCCAATAGTAGCCAATACTGGTTGGTGGTTTCAATCATTTTTTAATTTCCATAATATATGGGATAATCCTTCTCAACTGTCTTTCATATTCTTCAAGATGGTTAAAACCACCAACCAGAATAATAATGGTGTTTTATTAAGCATAATAATGGTTATAGCACCCTCTGGTAAACTAACATAACTATGAAAAATCACAATTTTTAATGGGAAAACTCACTAACAATGGCCATTTTCAATAGCTATGTTAGTTTACCAGAGAGTAGCCAATACTGGTTGGTGGTTTCAATCATTTTTTATTTTCCATAATATATGGGATAATCCTTCCCAACTGACTTTCATATTTTTCAAGATGGTTAAACCACCAACCAGGATAATAATGGCGCTTTATTAAGTATAATATTGGGAATCATGGTTAATAGTAGCCAATAGTAGCCAACCACTACCAATATTATAACATTAACCATTATAATTTGTTGTTAGTGATGATGTTCAAATATAATGGTTACCAATTATTGGCTAACTAATGGAGAATAATGGTTATCATGGTTCACCATTTAGTAGAATAATTGTTATAATGGTTTTATTAACTCGTTTTTTTTTAATGTTTTGTTAACTATAATGTTGTTTTATTAACTATAGAAAGATTTTTTCTAGTCTGGGAATGCTTTATACCATGTTAGACCACCTATCTATGATTATCTATGGTGATTTGGGGGATTGTTTGTTTTTGTTTTACCAACTTTATTGATATGAACATTGGGAAAATCAGCAGTGTTCACTATAAAGCCATTATAACCATTATAAATTGGTATAGTGATGATTATCAGCTTCATGATTGGTAATAATTCGTTACGCAATCATTTCAGCTATACTGGCTAGGCTGTGGTTTGTTCGCTAGGAAAATCGGCGGACAAAATGATGTTGTTGATGTTTGTTTAGCCTATGGAAACCCCACCAGTTATTTCAATGATTTTCCCAGCTAGGAGAAAACAATTCCATTTGGTGCCGGGATAATATGGAAAATCCACCATTTGTAACTGATATCCCAGCTAGAAACCTCCATTTTGATAAAATTGATAATCTACCCTATGAACTCTGGGCATTTTTTTTGGGTTTTAAGAAGTTCGATTAACATCAAATCCAAGGTTCGGTGGATTTTCCAGCCAGTCTTTTTTGGTGGGGCTCACGTGTATCGCAGTTAGAAACTGGTGAAAATAACCATATGGTAACTCATATATAAACCGATGTTTTTCCTTTTTTTGGGGAAAAAAGGGGGATCAATCCTATGTGTTGTTACCATGTTTCTTTTGAGATCAGTCCTATTTTGAACCTTTCTTTTCCAGGGAAACCTGTCAGGACGTGCCTGGAATTCAAACATATTGTAGTAATTCAGACATAATTATGTAATTATGACAATTCAAGGATATAATCAAATATAGTACCCTTGGTAATTCACAGATTATATAGCAACAAGGAATTGCAATCTTTGGAAAAGATGGTTGGTTGCTGATCTCCATGGCCGTTTAGAATCGCAGGTCGTGATGCTGGAAGGCACTCCGTGAGGAACTTAGCTATCGATAGCTATGCATGGTGGCGATGGAACATCAAAAAAACATGTACCCTCTGGTAAACATACAAAAAAACTATGGAAAATCACCATTTTCAATGGGTAAATCCACTATTTCTATGGCCATTTTCAATAGCTATGTTTGTTTACCAGAGGGTATATCATGTAGATATATGTAGATTGTAGATCATATTCCCCTCAAACCTGCGAGGGGCTGAGAGGGCAAAGTGATTGGCCATGAACTGCAAACTTTGGGTTTTGGGATGTTTTGGGGTAATCAAGTTGTGCAAAAGACGCACCAAATTTACAAGTGGCGACTGCATTTGATTCAAGGTCACATGATTTTTGGTCTGGGACCAACATGAATTTACAATTTGGAACTTGAAGAAAATGGCAGTTGAAATGTTGCCTCCGGTAATCAAACGTGGCAATGGTAAACCCACATAAATCCACCATTTGTAAATGAGTTTCCCATTAAAACCTCCGTTCAGAAAGGGAATTTGCCATGGAATTATGCCTTGGTGCGAGGCAAGCAGGCGTCCAGGCCATGATAAGTTCTGGGCGTGCAGTCCTCAGCTGGGAACCAGTCTGTAATAAGTCCCCCAAAAAATAGGGAACAGAGTTTAGCATAGTTCAACAGTTTATCTCTATATTTTACCAGATATTTTTTTAAATCAATTTCATCTATAGTTTATCTCTACAATTTATCTCTGACATGTTATCTCTATATCTATATGTTTGCATAGTTTCTTGTTTTAAGGGTTGCTATATGCGCAGTTTCAGCGGGACATCAAGTGTGTGCCGCACGGCCTGGAAAATCACCTGGCCACCTATCCAAACATATGGCAAGCCGTTCCAGCAAGTGGGACTGGCCCTGGCACCGGCTTGTAGCTTGTAGTTTGGCACTGGCAAAATCATATTACCCTCTGGTAAACAAACATAGCTATTGAAAATGACCATTTATAGTGGATTTACCCATTGAAAATTGTGATTTTCCATAGTTATGTTATGTTATGTTAGTTTACCAGAGGGTAAAAAAAAAAACAATGGCGTGACACACCCTTCCGCGAAGTATACAGACTGCACTTGTGCACCGAACAAACATATACAAAGACAGGTCTGGGCAAGGATAGAACAGGATAGCTACCCAGAAGTCAGAAGACCGAAATAATCGGTAATCTTAACCAGCACATGATGGAGCACATGTGTTGATTCACCCTTTGATTTCATGTGACTTCTCCAATCAGAAACACACAAGATCTGGGTGACAACCATCTTTCCTGCGCGATGGCGTCTACCTCAGTGTCGCCGGTGGCAGGGAAGGTTTGTGTGGTGACCGGTGGTGGCAGTGGCATTGGTGCTGCTTTGTGTCAGCATTTCGCATCCTTGGGTGCGAAGAAGGTTGGTTGGTGCATAGAAATATGTTGGCAATTTGTGAAATATGTGGATTATGATTGGAAATTCATCGGGCAACACACATGCCAATGGGAATTCATAAAAGTTATAAAGGAAATCAATGGGAAGTTTTTTTTCCTAGTGAATTGGATCATGCGTTTTCTCCAGCCAAGAGAATGTGGTGAATGAAAACAATTGCAGGTCACAATGCGGATTGTAAGAAGCGAATGGTGGCTTGATTCATGTTTTATTTCCCATCCCCCGAGATGTCCACTTGACACATCTATCAACATGTCAACATGTGTTTCAATTACAAGAAACGAATAGAAAATGATCACTGAAGTGATTTGCGGAAACCATGCAGCAAGAAGACCATGAAAATGATGAAGACTTCGGTCGAGTGGTTCTTGGCTTGGCCCCGTGCCACGACGATCGGAAAACAAATGGAGGAAACACTGCAGGTACGTCAAAGGGACGTCTCCTCTTGATATCGCAATGACATCTGGCGGTCTTCGTTGGCACAGGAAGGAGAGTCACACCTGTGCCCCCTGCGTTAGACGTTTTACATCTATACAGATGTTACACAAACACATGACACATACACACACACAGAACGTCAGAGATACTCGTAGGACTCAGTTGGAATGTCATTTTTTCCTGATCATTTTTTCACTTCGTTTCTTTTGGTAAGGCCGAAAGTTTCCAGAAAGGAACCATTGGCACCAAGTTAATGTGGTCTTGCACAGACCTATGCAGTTGCAAAATAGGCGTGTGTGGAAAAAACACACATATGATCACATATATGTATATAGTAATTTATTGCTATGATCGCCATATGAACATACAAGGCATTCCATATTCAGTTTCCCCCTTGACACATCTTTACACTTCCCAACTTCCCAGCATTTCCCCATGACTTTCATGGTCTGACGCAGGTGGTCGTTGCGGACCTGAACGAGGCCGCGGCCTCTGCGGTGGCGCAAGGGATCCAGGGCCTGGCCGTGCGCTGCAACGTGGCGGAGGAGATGGACCTCCGGCGGCTGCTGGCCGTGGCGGAGACGCTGGGACCCGTGGAGATCTTCGTGGCCAACGCCGGCATCCCGTGCAATGGCGGCTATGAGGCGACAACAAATTGGGGGACCATGGGGGACCATGGGGGACCTGGGGTCTGAGGGCTATAGGCTATGAAATTGTCATATGTATATATTGGATGTTACTTGGACTTGCTTGTTTTATGATTGTTTTTTTTGGGCGGGTGAGCAAGTTGCTGAATTTTGTCATGATTGGCGAGGTCTGGCTGGATCATGTCCGGAAGATGTTGGAAGTCATTTTGGGCCCAATATGGGGCAACTTGAACTGCCAAAGCGAGTGATGTTGCAATTGTTCAGCATTTTTTCTTTAGTAGTAATTATTAGTAATTTAAGACCCTCCAAGAAACAGACATAGCAACGGAAAGCGGTCCATCAATGGCTTTACAACATCTCTTTTTTCAGCGACTTTCCACTTAGTCCACTATTAGTCCACTTAGTCAACTGTCAGGTTTTGTTGTCCCCTGCAGGTCCCCAATGATGAGTGGGAAAGGATCTTCAAAGTCCACGTGATGCAACACGTCTTCGTTGCCCGGCACCTCTTTCCGCTGTGGCAGCAACGCCCGGGCGAGAAGCACCTGGTGATTACAGCCTCCGCAGCCGGACTGCTGACACAGGTGGAAAGGGGTTAGGAAGGACCCAGCTTAAGGTTTCCATAGTTGGCTATATGTTTTGTGGAATTTATGGAATGATTCTATATGCTCACACACACACACCACTACATATATATATATAATATATATATACAGAATATTACAGAATATGTTAATATATATATATGTATTAATATTACTTGGCTTCTAGGTTTCTATGTGCAAATACGCAACAAGACCAGCAGGGTGTCTAATATCAGGTGGGGTCTTTGCCCTACAGCGTGACGAAACATGCGGCCGTTGCCTTGGCGGAATGGTATCAGATCAGTTACCAGGAGTTTGGTATCCAGGTCTCGTGTCTGTGTCCGCAGGCCGTGGAAACTGGAATGATCCCCGAGGGGTCACAAGGTGGCGTGGCAGGTGGGGATGGGATGCTGAAACCCGAAGAGGTGGCCAAGGAGGTGGTGAAGGCCATGGCTTTGAAGAAGTTTTTGATCCTGCCGCATCCTGAGGTGTTGACCTATTTCCAGCGCAAGGCCTCAGATTATGAGCGCTGGCTGAAAGGAATGGGCAAACTCCAGAAGAATTTCGGGGATTTGATCAGGAGGAGCCCACCAACCTCTGCCGCAAAGCTGTGAGGCCAGTTGCTTGGCGCCTTTCTTGCGCCTTTTTGGTCGGAAAAAACTGGAATGCAGCAGCCTGGAAGGTCATGTGCCTGTTGACATCCTTTTGACAATGGGAGAATCCATTCTTGTTGGTGAAGGCACTGTGACATCCTCAATGTTGAGTGCAAGCGTCAATTGGTATACCCACCTGTTGTTGCACAAATCCTTCTCTCCACACCCTCCACCACTAATCATAGCGCTGGCAAATCACTACTTACCAGCAGAATATTGAGTCAAGGATTTTCCCGCGATGTTGGTTTCATACCAAACGAAGAATCTTAAATTGTGATAGAGTCTGATAGAGGCCCAGTGTCCAAGGTTGGGAGATGAGAGGCTTGCGCAAGCCAAACGGCTGGGACTCCCAGAGAAAACCTGATCCTGGTGTTGGTGGGAATTTCATGGATGAAACGTGAGAAGATTGTGTTTGAGTTTGGGATAGTTTGGGATATTTTGGGATAGTTGATGTTTTTTACTTTCATTGCTTTCTTTCGTGTGGCTTTTGAAAAAAAGTAGTCAGTTGGTGGCCTAGCCTTTCGGTTTTGGGTCCGGGGTACGGACAACGTTCTGTCATGTTTTTTCTTCCCCACTTGATGGCATGAAACCAACCCTGCAGGCATAGGGCGGACATGTCAACTGGACTTCGAACTCGAGGTTTGCTTTTAATTGATGGCCTTTTCAAGCATAGATAAGAAATGCGTATGCGGATCATTTTGACATGGTAGAAGATGTAGAAATAAGGGAAGTACAGTACAGTATATTTATAGATTATCAGGCTGATTATTAATAGATAGTGGTCAATAGTACAAGAGAAGAACAGAAGTGATCAGATAATTAAGATCAGATCGAAAAAGGTGTGGCAGGATGGTCAGTGAGCCGGAGTGAGGTGATTCAGAAGCACTAGCCTCTGGCGATGAAACATAGCTAGGGAAAATGACCATGTTAACAATGTTAAACGGCTTCTGTTAAATCATCTATAATACGGGGCAATATTCCGTATTTTTTTCAGTTAACAGAGGATAGATCAGCAGTTTGATGTATCCATCCCCTGACCCTCGCTATCCCTCGCTATCCCTTGCTGCGCTGCCAGATACCGATTGGATGAATTTGGATCCTGAGCTTCCGCCAGTTGAGATCGAAGAAGCGCCCAAAAAGTGGCGCTTTTTGCCCTTTTTATCAGGACTGGGTCGCCTCTACAGCTGATGGGTGAAGTCTATGGTATCTAGTGGCTGGATGTGGCTGGATGTGGCTGGATGTGGCTGGATGTTCATCTTCATAAATATGATGTGGTAAGTTTTGGCCATTCCCATGTCTTGAGATGTCTTGGTGGGCCTGAGACCGACTGTCTCTGCACATCTTTTTGCGGTGGATTGGCTGACCTTTCACAGGGTTGCTCCAAGGTTGCCAGTCAGAAAGCACTGGTTTATAATTATTAATAATGTTTATTTGCAAATTTCATGATGTGTCTAATTTATCTTGCGCTTCTTTCTCCACTTTGCACTTTTTTGATGTTCTTTCTTTGACCCAAATTCGTCCCCCGTTCCTGTGGTGAATGGGGAGCTTGCAGGACCCGGAGGCGCTCCGGAGAGATCTATTGTGCCCGTAAAGGCCCGGCAGTTTTGGTGCATCCATGATCTATGAATCCGGATGAAACACGCACGCACACATATGTATAAAAATGACTATATTAATACCATATATAATATATAGATATCTATATATACATATATATATATACATTAACATATATGCACACTTATATTATACAACCATATGATATGAAATTGACTCACTTTTTTAAAATGCACACAGCAGTCGAATTCACTGCATGACAGCAGTCGAAGTTCCATGAATCTCTGGAGCTTCCCAGGTTTCCTTTTGGGCATATCATCTCACTAGTGCGGTGGGTGGCAACATCGCCGCAGCAGCGGAAGCCCAAGGATTTTTGTTGGGATGTTAGATGGCTGGAGAAAGTCTGCAAGCTAGGGTTAAAAAGGTCATGACCAGTATGAGCAATCCGCCCAAAAAAAGAAAATAACATAGAAAAAATAGACATGAATGGAATATATATATATATATATACATTATATATATCGGGATAGTCTGGTTAAGAGCCCCCAATGAGAGCCGTCCATTCCACAGCAGTTGAACGCGAACGTTTTTAGGGGGGGCGTGTGAAACGTGCACAACTTCTGTGAAACGTGCACAACTTCTTGCAACCGTGGACAACTTCTGTGATTTCGATGACAAGTTCTCAAAAACTGAAAAGAACTCTTAATCAGACTACACCCATATATATATATATATATATTTGTTTGTTTATTTATTTTTATACCATGATATACCGTATGGTGTATACCTCCAGGTCATGAGAGCCTGATCTGCCGCCTAGCTCCAAGCAGCTCAGACCTCGCTCCGCACGCAACGTGCGTCGTGCCTTGTGCGTCGCCATGGCCTTGGCCCCAGCCTTCACCGTCATCAGCCCAGGGGCGACCCCGACCGTGACGACCCTGGCGCAGGAGGCAAGCACAGTGCGCCGCAACGTGACGGGTGGATCCAGTGGTGCAGGTTGGGATGTCGGAGGGGATGGGGTTCTCATGGGATTTCCGATTTTTTCAGCATGGACATGTTCGATCATCTTCTCGCTCTGGGATGAGGTTCCAGTGGAGTCCAGTGGATTCCAGTGGCATTTTGGGTCAAACACGTGGGAGTTTGACATTGTTTGACTATGAAAAATTGGTTTCAAACTGGATCCCAAACTGGGCTCAGTCCCAGGTGCCGCTGTCACCGTGGCTGGTTTGGCAGCTTGTGCTGCCGTGAGCCGCGGGGCAACCCGAAGCCGCCGAGCAAGGGGGCCAGTGATGGTGGGCAACGCCAATGCAACGGAGTGCCTTGAATTCACAGCTTGCCAGAACCCTTGAGTTTTATAGTTGGATGGGGTCCGTGTGAAACGGCAATTTCATAATTGCTTTTGGGGATCCCACTGGTCATTTATTGGGGGGGTCATCAATCCTGGGCTGAGGTCCTACTACCGCGACCACCTGGTGGCCTGCCGCGCGCAGCTGAATGGCGTGGATGCTCCTACCCCAGAGGAGACTGACAAGCACATGGAGGGCATCCAGGCCTTTGCCAAGCAGGCTTTGGCAGGTGCCTCTGCCGCCATGCTGTTCACCAGTTCCATGGAGGCAGCTGTTGCATACCCCATCTTTGCCCAGCAGAACTATGCCAACCCTCGTGAGTACACTGGGAAGATCGTGTGCGCCAATTGCCATTTGGCCAGCAAGCCCATTGAGGTGAGGCTTCCTCAGGCGGTGCTCCCCGACACCATCTTCAAGATGGAGGTTGAGGTGCCAGCCAAATACGCCAAGCGCCGCCAGCCTCAGGCTGATGGCTCCAAGGGCCCCATGAACATTGGCGCCATTGCCGTGATGCCTGAGGGATGGAAGTTGGCTCCCAAGGATCGTCTCCCCAAGCCCCTGAAGAAGGAGATGAAGGGCTTGGCCTGGGCTCCATACAGCAAGGACTGCTACCCGGAATTGAGTCCTAAATGTTTTACCAGGGTTGAAAGATGTTAAAAGCATCAACCACTATCATTTGGGCAACGTTGGAAAGGGTTGTTTGTTCTTTGATCGCATGAATTCCCGCAATTCCCCAACATCTCTTAGACATTAAAGTCATCTCATATTTTGATCCAGCTGGTGTTTACTGGTTTTTATGTTGCGTTCGAGTCCTTTTTTAGGGGGCACCCTTGGACGAATTCTTGAACATCTCTAGGTAGAGGCTGCTACCGGAAACAAAATCAGCTACCCCAGGAGTACCCGAACATCGTGGTGGCGGGCCCAGTGCCAGGCAGGGTAGTAACCAAGTTTAACAAACCTGAGGTTTCAAGATCCAAGTCAGAGAGATCAAATAAGATCAAGTCCAGTTCCATGCCCCAGCATGAACTGGCATGCTTTGGCTGATTTGGTGCCCTGTGAGGCAAAGATTGAAAAATAACTAAGAGAGATCTAGCATGATCTAGCCTCAGGATGATTCTTCCCATGAATCCAGGCGAGACTTATGAGAAGATGGTGCTCCCAGTGCTTTCCCCAGACCCCAACACCAACGCCGCTTGGCTGACAGCGTGATTCAATATACGTAGATATGAGCTACAGCCAAAATTTAGGTTAATGGAGAGTAGTATTCGAGACATCTTTTTTTTGGACATTGAGCTGGGGTTTGGAAAACGATAATACACTCTTCAAAAAGCGATAACATGTGCTTATACTATCTTATACTTATATACGAAAACCTGAAACACGATAATACACTCTTCAAACATCGATGACTTGGAGCTATATACCAAATATTGACCGTGGCCCATTCCAGGAGAAAACTTAGTTCCTGGTTTCCCTGTGGGAAAATGATCTACAGATGGTCGTCATGGCATGACATCCACGGACAGTTTCAGCGAAAATTGGACCTTGAAGAACCTTGAGACTTTGCTTGGGTCTTGTTGAGTTTCTGAAGTTTTGTGTCGGCCTTGACATGCCTTGACCTATCTCCAGCCTTTACAGCCGACATTTTGGGATGGGTTTTGAACAGATTGGACGCTCCAGGACAAGGTGATCTTCGGCAAGGGGATCTTCTACTTCGGCGGCAACCGCGGACGTGGTCAGGTGGACCCGCGGGTCGATGGACCGTTGGACCGATGGACCCGGGCCCGGGAGATTCCCAGCCTTGGAGAAAGGGGTGCGAAATAAACCATCCGTATGGGTGGTTTATAATTTATAATGGTTTATGTTGATGGCATTGCCTTACCAACATTTTTTTAAGGTTTTTTTTGGGTCACTTGAATCGTCACCGATGGAATCCGGTGAAACATGTTGAATTGTTTCGCCAGAAGACATGATTGGTAAAGTTTCCAAACATGTCAAAAGTTTTGTTTAGCAATTGTAAATGATGGATTCTTCATGATGTTTCTAAATGGTGGATGGTTGACTCATGGGGTGGTTCTGTGCAAAAAAACTTGTAGGTCATTTCAGCTGATGAGATCCCAGCCAGCCGGTGAGTCATATCATAGGTGGTGCCCTCCAGTTATGTTTGTTGGTTTATAGGCCGACTCATTGACTAGTATAACTATACCAGAAATGCGACAGTGAACTTACAAACCAACTTCGCTAACGAACTGTGGCGCTACCTTTAGATGAAATATTAATATGTATGTATAATTTACATATATATATATTATAATTATATATATAATTATATCTATATATTGTATCATTATATATATATAATCACAGGCATATATATATATATATATACACTAAATGATGCCAATATATGTTTGTAGTAAAATATACATAATTACACGCTTATCTATTTTACAGATGACCTATAGATGGTTTTGACTTCAAGCAGCCTTGCGTTTCCTGGCGCCCACCGGCTCTTCACGGCAGGTCTATCCTGAGGGCAACCAGAGCAACAACAACCAGTTCCTGGCCTCTGCCACTGGCACCATCTCTGCCATCGACGGCTTGAAGGTCGGATAGGTAGATTGGTAGGAGATCAGCAGCCAAATATCCATGAAGATCATGGCTGATTGGTGGTTTGGAACCATGGAATTTTATGACTTTCCATATATTGGGAATGTCATAATCCCAACTGACGAACTCATATTTTTCAGAGGAGTTGAAACCACCAACCAGATGAAGGTTTTTCAGAAAAATGGGCTGGTATCTTTCAAAATCCACCATGCAAGATCAGCAAGTTGTGAAAAATGAGGCGTGAGTTGAGACCAATGGTGGGCGTCCGCCATCTCTTAGACATGGGGGATCGTGAAAATTTATGAACAATTAGGAAGTGCAGGGATTAAAGTACCCTCTGGTAACTATGGAAAATCACCATTTTTAATGGGTAAATCCACTATAAATAGCCATGTTCAATAGCTATGTAACAAATTACCAGAGGGTATATAGTATGGGGAAATTGCGGGAGATACTGTAAGTCTTTTCTTCGGACAAAAAAAATATCAGAGTAATGAAACCATCCAAACAGAATCATGATGCCACATTCTGGTACAAGGTTGTGCCCCATAATTGGCCAAATCACATTGAAAGTAATGTGACTAGAGGACTTATGGTGCATATAATATCATTATATATCATTATTATATCTATATATAATTATATGGTATATATATATCTATATTTGCTGTATATTTCATGGGCTGTTTGTTTAACTATTAACTGTTTGTTTCAACCAATGGAGGGCACCACTTTCTGGATGATTCATGGAGGTGCCATCCGGTCAAACTACGCCTATCCGGCGTATCCGGTCAAAACATACAAAAATGAACTGGAAAATCACAATCTTTGATTTGAGGTAAACTAACATAACTATGGAAAATCACACGTGTCAATGGGTAAATCACCATCTTTCATGGATAATATAGATAACTAACTAGAAAATCACATTGTTTAATGGGTAAATCAACTATAAATGAACCATGTTTAATAGCTATGTTAGTCATTACCGGAGAGTATTTGCCTATCTATAGTTGTAGATTAAGTGTGGTTAATTAAGACCCCTTTCAGAGAAGTTGTCCACGTCCACGTTTAACAGAAGTTATCGTTTCACAAGCCCCGTCATAGTGTTCGTGTTCAACTGCAAAAAAAATCTATTGTTGGGGGGGAGGCTTGAACAAAGTATCCGGATCTAGTTACCTATCTATCCATCCATCAATCTACCTGTCTATCCATCTATCTATATAACTATCTGTTTTTTTTTTTCTCTCTCTCTCTCTCTATCTCCCTCTCTTTCTATACATATATTTTACAAATGTTTGTATGTGTGCCCGTCACCAGCTAGCGTCCAATTGTAGGTGTTCAAGGTGTCTTTACGAAAAAACATGTTGAAAATCCTGGGAGGTCTTAAAGCTCAACAAAAATCCAACTTGTTTTTTTTTTCGGGATTATAAACTACTATAAACCCGCAGTTTTGGACCACCACGATGACAAAGCTCGTGGCAGGTGAGCATCACCACTCCCAACGGCGATGTGAAAACACAGGACTAATTTGCGCCCGGCTTTCGCTCCAAAGATGTATCTTTAAAAAAGGGGTGCCCTATTTTGAGACCTGCCCTAGATCTAGTTGGTGGTTTCAAATATGTCTTGAATTTTCTAAAACTTGTTTGAGATGATGACCCCAGCTGATCCATATTTTGAAGGGAGGGTGAGATCACGAACCAGATATTTTGGGGCGAAGTACATCAATCTGCCAGCAATGTTGATGTGAAAAAACAGGGTAGCAGTGTTTTGACCCATCATAGCCACCAGACGCACTTTCGAAAGATCGTCTATACAGTACAACTTAATCTTTGGTCATCTTTGGTCATACATACGATATCAATCCTATCCAGCTAAACATTGTTTGCAAGGTGTATGTAACCCTTGTTTTTTCTGACTCCCATGTGGAACCCAACACTTGGGCGATATCTAGTCGCCATATTATGTTTGGGAAGCCCTGTTTCTTGGAGCTGAACCAATTTCACTACACACAATAGAGGGAGAGAGAGAGATGTGTGTATTATACATGCATGCATTGCATTCATATATGCCAAAAAGGATCAAAAAGGCATGTCTGTAATGATGCGAATGATGCGAAATGTGTATGACATTTTTTTCCAAATCGCAGACATAAAACGACCTGTTTTTGGAGCCAGGAGTGCCTGACAGGTGCTGACATCGTGGTGCAGGTGGGTGATGAGGTGACCAAGGATGAGCCCATCACCACCAATCCCAATGTGGGTGGCTTCGGCCAGGCCCCTGTCGACCATTACGGCTAAAACCACGTCGCTGCACTCGTTGAGTGCCAAAACTGGCTTCTGATCAAAACGAACAAAACAATCAAAACCAAAGTGGTCTTGAGGCCTGTGGTATGTACATGTATGTACTTACTGATTAATTTCAATTGTGAATCTAAGATCCCCAAGCTTTGATTTGGTCAGTTGGTTAATTGAAGACAAGGAAGAACTGGAAGTGAGGCTCTTGTTTGGGTCGAAGTTTGTTAAAGTTCTAGTTCCATCGCCCAAGCTGCTTGCTTTTCATGATTTCACTTGGAGCATTGTATGGAGACCCGTTTTACAAAAGAGTATTGCCAGTGCCATGGTTCAATGCGCCAAGCCTTGCAGAAATTTGTGTTGCTTTTGAGCAGGAAGAGAAGGAGTGCATCCTGCAGGACATGAACCGCGTCTACGCCTTCTGCGCCTTCGCCTTCTCCTGCTTCATTGCTCAGCTCAGCTTCGTGTTGAAGAAGTGACTTGGCTTTAAGAATTCATCCTGCTGGAACAGTTCGAGAGATGTCTCACACCTTGGGCGATGACGGAGAGAGATAGATGGATGATGGGATGGATACATGGATAAATAGGTCTGAATGATCTCACTGTGACCTCACTGGAATGATGGTTAGTAAGGGAACCACCCCCAAATTGCATCAAATATATCAAATTGCCATTATTTTTTATTTTTTTAGTTTGGTGGTTAGTGAATTACTATAATTCATCCAGATAGATACAAGTATATAACCCATTCATTGCCCGGCTCCACGGAAAGCCCGAGGAAGCAGTTCGAGAAGGTCCAGCTGGCAGAGGGCTTCTGAGTGCTTCAGCTTCCCAACTGATGGAGGGGACGCACATATGCTTCCAGCGATTGTGTTGATGGCTCGTCCCAACATACCCTGGCATCACAAGATTGAAGTCTTTCTTGTTCAGAGTATAAAGAGCCGAGAAAAAACACATTCCTCAGGCCTCAGAGGGTATTATAGGGTATTTAGGTGTCTGAAAATGGTGGGATACCTGATTAACCAATGGATTTTGCATTTTTTTTTCGGAGTGTCCCCTCATCCTATCAGAGAGCTGCGCGGCTTTTTGATGCTGGTTGTGCCACCAGCGACCCAAGTGTTTGGGTTCAGTTCTTCAAGCACCGGCTGACGGTGAGCGCAGTTCAAAAAGACGAGGGCGGCCATAGCTGAGGCAGTTCTGGGCAGATTGCCCAACCATATCATACACGTATCAAGCATGAAAGAAATTAGGGCTTTGACGCTCCAAACATGGCTTGATGTGGTTAAGAAATGTTAAGAAATCTTAAGAAGACTTAAGATCTGCAGGCTGCGTGCAGTACTTAGGCCTAGAAAAGATTATAAAAGACTGGAATAATGCAGTCCAACGTGATTGGGGGAGCTGGCTGGACATGCTGGACCCTGATTGTGGTGATGATGTTGTCTTTAGTTTGCCGTGTATTTGCGCATCATTATTGTGCATATAGAGAGTTGTTTGTTCGGTTGTGTTTGTGTGTTCGTTTGTGTTTGTTTGTTCGTTCGTTTGTTTATTTATATATTTGTCTTATACATAGAAACACACACACAAACACCAAATACATATGTTATGTTACATATTATAGATTTTTAAAAATGACAATAGTAACAATAATAACAACAATATTATTCATTACAATTCATGATATGTGTATCTGTATAATATATATATATTATGTATATATTGGTCTAAATAAGAAACACCTCAACAATCATAATGAATATACAATAGCAATGCTCATCATAAATCCTGAGGTCACTGCGGCGGCCAACCAGGGTGTGCCCCTGCGCTTTCTGGGCCCCAAAGACAACGGCATGTTGCAGGGCTATGCGCAGGCGATCCGCAACGCGGAGTTTTCCATGGAGGAAGTGACCACTGGAGACCACTGAGATGACGGATTTAAACTGATTTAAATGTTTGTAGATTTACATATTTGAACTAAATGACTCACCACAATAACTTCAATAACTTTGGGTTATGATATACTTATAACTATCATATTTGTATATATATATATTCTTAATAACAGAAACGGGGGGAACCGAACCGAACACCCCAACTGCAAGCCATTTGATGATCCCAAAGCAGCTGGTTTGGTCAGTGCTATGTGTTTTTGTTTTACGCTTTGTTCAACCAGCGCGCCCGGGAATCTGGGGATGGATTAAAACCATTCAAAACCCATGAAAAATCACATGTAATTTACTATATTTAATATTTATGAGATGAACATCCATGTGCCAGCTATTTGGGGTTTCGTCAGCGTACCAGGATTTTTGACCCATACCCATATCACCGATAGGCTTCAAGAGCGGCTCCGATGTAAGTTGCGCGGGAGTGCGACGTGAAACGCAGATTTTTTTATCGAAGATGACAGTGGCTCCAAAATAGTCATTTCAACCCCAGATTGATAAAACCCGATTAAACAGTTGGTTTGAAATTACCATATAGAGTGAGTTAGCCCTATAAACCTCACTGGTACTTCGTAGGGAATGGGGAAGTGGGATGATTGTTCGTAGTTATTATATCATTGCTATCATTGCTTTTATCATGACCATTGTAGTTCACCCAACCAGCAAGCAGTTTTTGGTCACCGTCACCAGCCCGTCACCGCTGCCTTCCTGGCTATGCGCAGCTTGCGAAGATTAGAAGCACAGATGATACCGCCCGTGGCATCCCAGAACTTGATGGTCAGCTCTTGGCTCCCAATAAATCTTACCCTTTGGTAAACTAACGTAGCTATGGAAAATCACTCATTTGCATAGGTAGATCAACTGTAATTGGCTATATTAGTTTACTATAGTTTACCAGAGAGCAATAAATCCACCACTTTGTCTTGCAGATGTCGACTTCAGGTGAAGTTTTGCCTAAAAGTTGACTTTTTGCACTGTCCGCACAACGTCCAAGCTGCGGTGGGATATGGGAGGATGCGTCGGCAAACAGCACGTGGCTAGATAGCACGCTAGCCACGTGCCGGTGGGGTGGCAAAGGGTGTGGAGATGTTTCAGGCAGCATCGCGTTGCTGCTTGTGATCATAGATGGGATCTCGATTGCCGTCATATGCCATCATATGCCATTAATAAGCTTGTGTTTCTGCAGTGCATATTTTGAGGTTTCCCTTTCGACCAACGGAAGCGTTCACTGTCTGGTCTACACCAGAGATGGGATGAAGCATCAAAGGGTGAATGGGATGAACTTATCAAAGTCAACAGATCCACTTATTGGAAATCATCTTCTTAGTGGATTGAAAGTTGGTAAATATTAGGAACATATTGAGAAACACCATTCATGAAAAAAAAACCTTAAATGGTGTTAAACGCCAATCATATACTTCATCTTGAGGTGAAAGTGAGAAGAACAACCGGACTTCCGCAGCACAGCATCACAGCAGAATGGGGTACCGGACAATACCTGGATATAGTTCTGACATTTCTGCATAGTGGAATAGCAATATATCTGCATGATATATTTATTCATATACTGCATATATATATATATATACTTAAATGTAATATGGTATAATATGTATGCATGAATGTATCTATCATTACTATATATATAGAATCTTTCTCCGATGTGCTGTACATGTTACATGTGAGTACTAGTGATAATAAGAATAATGTTTGCGGTCACTCCCGCAGATCTCTTTGCTTCAGGCTTTGCATCGCAAAATCTCCTTAAAACCGAAAGACTACAGCAACTTGGGTCGCGTTCGATGCTTTCTTGGAAGGAGTGCTTAATTCTGAATTCTTGCTTTTGTTTTTGAGCGCTGTTTGCTTAACCGGTTGGGAGTTTCCGAACAAACCAACCAGAAGAAACTGAGGTTTACCATCGGCTTCACCATGGCCATAAGTTTGAATCGATGCCCTGTATGCTGACGCGGAACCGGTCATTTTCAGAGCCACATTTCATGGTAATCACTTCTGTTCAGTAGTATTACTGAATCATCAGTCAGAATATGTACTATATCCATCTATCCATCCATCCATCTATCTATCCAATCTAATTACAATGATCTAATCTAATCCAATCAAATCTAATCTAAATCTAATCTAATCTAATCTATCTACCTACCTATCTATCTACCTATCTATCTACCTATCTACCTATCTATCTACCTATCTATCTACCTATCTATCTACCTATCTTGTTTTATCTTATTATAAGTATCTGCTTATAATATCTCATATATACTATTTAAAAAAAAACTATAGGTAGATGGATAGATGAGCCTTATACTAGATAGTATACAGTATATCTATCCATCTTATATCATAGACTATCTATATATAGATATTATAGATACTATATATACTGTGTTTCTTACAGTTGGTAAGCCACTCAGGCCATGGCTGTGATGCGGCGGCCAGTACCGAGCTGGCTCCCGAGATGCTGGGTGTGGAAACGCCCAAGGTGCCGGGAGATGTCTCCTTAGCGCCTCGGCGGGGGAGATCCCACCGGCTATCCCTTGAGAAACATAGAGAAAGCGATGGAAAATGGCCATTGATAGGTGATTTACACATTAAAAATGGTGATTTTCCATGGCTATGTTATATAAATAACCAGAGGGTATAATATTTCACTAACCTGAATTGTTGGACCATTTTCTTTATAGATGAAGATGGCTATTTAGACTTACAGTACCTACGACACATATTTAAAAATTGTGATTTTCCATAGTTATGTTAGTTTACTAGAGGGTAAACCAAGGCTGTGGAAAACCTCCGGGGGAACCCTAGAAAAAAAACATCTACAAGTTGATGTTCCACATGTTTTTTATTGGGGAGATGCCTAGCGGTATACCTGGTATGGTAATCTTTGTGACCAAACACAAAGTTTGCAAAATGGCCCAGTTACTCAGTTGGTTCGATGATTGACGACCTTTTTGAACATGGTGAATTTCCAAAATGTTCCATGGTTATATAACCTAAAATGGTTTGGATTCAGCCAACCACGTGGATATCATGGGGATATGTAACTATAATTGATTATACATATCATATACTGGTTGGTGGTTTGGAACATGTTTTTTTTCCATAATATGTTGGGATGATGATCCAATTTGACTTTCATATTTTTCAAGATGGTTAAAACAACCAACCAGGCTATATATTGAATTATCAGAGGATAGATCCGGATGATACGTAAATAGAAATTAGAAGAAAGTAGCTTTGGATCTGAACAAAAATCTCAGTGCGGCTGCGGAATTGTGTTTTTTTCTTCATGTCCAATACATCATCATCGCAGTATCATCACTTCAAATCATTCTCCACTCGTTCGATCCGGATGATACTTAAATAGAAAGTAGTTTTGGATCTGAAAATTTCTCAGTCTTTCTCCATTGATTGGATTGGTTTAAGGGAAATTTTACAGGAACCCAGAGTTATTTTCCCATTAAGATCATGGGGTTTTCCTGTAAATTTTCCCTTAAACCAATCCATCTTTCTCCATGTCCAATCGTTTTTTTTCTCCCGGGGAAGTCATTGATGGAATTGGCGCAGCGAAGATCCTGGCGACGTGAAGATCCGATCGCGACGGATGATCCCAGTCAGCGCGCAAGCGGTTTATAGCCCGTAATATATATATATAATATAGACCTTATATATAGATATATCGATATATATATATATATAGGTATGAACATATTTATGACATATATATATATTGCAATATACTAACCATAACCACCGACTTGAACCAATTTTTGGTTCCCTGGTTCCCCGAGGCTGGCACCTTGTCCAGCTGCAGCGTGGCGGAATTGGCCAAGCGCTATAAGGCCTGGCTCTATCTGAACCCCAAGGGCCTCAGCGTCTTGGCCAAGCGACCATTGAGCGTCGCGGAAGGGAGTTGGAGTTGGTTTCTGGATGGGAATGGGAGGATTTAGTTCATGTTTTTGTGGGATGTTTTTATGGGATGTTTAGTTATAATATGTTACCCTCTGGTAAACTAACATAGCTATGGAAAATCACAATTTTTAATGGAAAAATCCACTATTAATGGCCATTTTCAATAGCTACGTTAAATTACCAGAGGGTATCATGTTCATGTTAATCTTCTGTTTAATTGATTGATGACTGGGCCAACCGACTGGGTAGATAGGACTTGCCGTACCGTAGTACTTCAATCTTTTGCTATCAATGTGATAATGTGCTAAAATGTAGTAACCCGCTGAAAACTAGATTTGTGTCCAGGTATCTAAGATTCACCATGACAAAACAGATGGAATTTCCGGGGGGGGAATTCACCAACTTACACTTACCCTCTGGTAATTTAACGTAGCTATTGAAAATGGCCATTTATAGTGAATTTTCCCATTAAAAATGGTGATTTTCCATAGTTATGTTAGTTTACCAGAGGGTATTGGGGATACTATTCGGGGATGAAACAAGTCATGGGATATAGCTGGGTGAGGCAGAGTTGCCAATACATGGCAAGCTGGTTTTCGCTGATAAACTGTGGAAAATTGACACCGTGATCATGGCATTTCAACTTGTCAGGGTTTTTGTAGTCAAGAATCCATGTTTGGATTTTGCTGCAGTGCATTGACTCATATATAATATTTGCATGACATCAGGGTGGAATATATGGTGGAATCAAGTCTCACCAGGGTGCTTTTTGTTTGATGCGGCCACCAAACTGTGGAGGCCTTAAGACGACCGCAAGGTGGCCCCAACACGATAGCTAAGGTGGATTAGATGACCAGTAAGACGAATGTATGACTATGTATGACTACCCTCTGGTAAATAAACACAGACCCTGAAAATAAGTCATGTTTAATGGAAACTAATCTTCCAAGTACTATTTGCCAGGGTCTATGTTAATTTACCAGAGGGTAAGGTCTATGGATATTTATGGTGATGGATATTTATGGTGATTACACGTGTAATCTGTTGGGTTAAAAATAGACAACAAACATCACTGGAGGCGGGGCCACCTTGTTCCAATTTCGTGGATGCAGCATGTGAGACTATGGATAAGGAAAGCCACCACAACCTCACAACGGCCTGCATCATCATCATCAGCATCATCCGAAAACTGTAATAATCAAACGTGGCAATGTCAAATCCACCAATTATCTACATATATGTAGATATTACTTATATATATATGATTATATATGATGTTCCCATTAACACCTCCATTTACAGGGAAGAAATGTGAGGATGTCAAGTTGCCATGTTTGATTTCCGGAGGGTAATATACTGTATAGTGACAATAATTTTAATGATTAGTCATAGTAATCATAGTAAATCAGAATGATTATAGTCGTAATGAGTCTGAGTCATAATGATCATATAAACCCTCCGGTAAACGTTTACAAAACTATGGAAAATCACCATTTTTTTATGGTTTTCATCAACTCTTTCTATGGCCATTTTCAATAGCTTTATGTATGTTTATCAGAGGGTAATCGCAATCATCACAATCATCATCAATCAAGGCTTTCACTGTTGGGGCCGTCCCTAAGGCTCCCACTTCACCTCCGGTCCACGCACTTTGGTCGCACAACATTTGTCCTTCCAGAAGAAAGTCTGAGTGGGACGGAAAGACATTGTACCTACCCTATGGTAAACTAACATATATATGGAACATCACCCATTTGTTACAAGTAAATCAACTATAAATGTGCCATTTTCAATAGTTGAATTCCCAGAGGGTAACCTGTCCGAATCTACGTCTGAACATGATTGTCCTAAGCGTTCAAAGGCTTGGCCGGATTCATATTTGGAAGTAGTTCCAGAGCTATGCCAGCTTGAGACTCCTAACGTCAGCACTTAAAAGTGGTTAAATGTCGCATTAGATAGCAAAAAAGGGTTTCAACAACAAAAAAACTAGCCCGCCCGCAAATGGGAGAGTCAGGGTATCCTTGTCTACTAACTACCCACCTCCTACGATGACAGGCCCCTAGCACTTTTAATTGGTTTTATGCTCACATTTGATTGTTAAACAACCTTTAAGTAAGTTGGGGGCCTTTGCGACTAGATTCAACTGAGAGAGAAACGGAAGTTCAGGGGCATTTTTGGCCACATTTATTCTAGGATATTAAACTTCCCCAAAAGGAACAGACTCAATGCAAAACCATGTTGTCCAATGATTGTATTTGGCATGAATGGGAATGGATTCAGTGATTGAGTGCTTCAAACAATCGCGAATATTCGGGATATATAGTCAAAAAATGACGAGGTGGTGGTTTCAATTGCTAGTTGGTGGTTTTAAAGTGTAAGCGGTTTATGTTTTCATGCTCAACCCTACATGATCCCCTGACTCAATGAGATTTTGCAGGGGGTGGTGCAACCATCAATCAGTATGTTTAGTCTTATTGCTAAAAGATGAATTGTATACCAGTGGTGGGCCGCTATCAATCCATTTTCGGGATTTGTGTATTTAGTTATCTTAGGATTCCATGGCATGGGATGGATGACCATAAACCATGAACATTCCGTGTAACTTGACCATGGGTTTGGTTTGAAAATAGGCTACTCCCAAATCCATTGGATCATTTTCCCTATTAAAGTAGCCATGAAGGGCTATACATCATTTTCAGACACAGCGAAGCTGTCGCGGCCAGTCCCCCCAAGGCATTTCCAATCGTGCTGTCGGTCTTCCGAGCGACCAAATAAGAAGCGCGGGCTGCCGGTTTTTTGGGCCCAGATTCAGTACATTTTTGTGTTGCTAAACTTTTTGGTTCCTGAGAAGTGATCATTTTTGTTGGAAGGAAACTAACTATAGTTTCTGTACATGTCTACGTATATGTATGTATATATATATACACAGAACTGTTTGTTACATATGTAATTATATGTATATATATATACAATAGACTGTAGTTTTTGTGGAAGGCGGTTGGGCGCCATCCTGATTTTGCTGCAGAGTGGTGTTAATTCCTTTCTGATTCCTGCCCAATTTTTTGGGCATTGGCTTCCCAACACATCCATTATTACATGCAGATACATGCAGTTGTAAAGGTTAGCAATAAACAATAATTTTCACAGCCAAAGGCGGCACTTGGATCACGTGGGGCCCCTGCTGTTCACCATCATGTTGATCTCTGAGGGGTACCCCTGCAGGTTGGTGATTTTGGATTTCTTCCGTCCACCAGTGCCTGCAGAGCAGACGCAACAATTACTGCAAGCCATGAGTCAATTGCCCAGACCCTTGATGGTTCAGTCACTGGGACATGGAGAGACTTGGGGAGGTTTGGGTAGGTGAAATTTCTATTCATTGCCCACAGAGAATGCATAGAAATGTTGTTGCCATACATTAATACATGCAGGACCCATCTACGAAATCTCATTGTTTGTTTCCTTTTTGGGGAAAAGCTATCGAAAGTGGAGTTCAACGCATGCTTTGACATTGGGATCCTGAAGCTTTCACTTAAACCAGTCAGAGCATAGTCTCCCACTGCCTCATCACAAACTATCAGCCCCGACGAAGGTCTTGCCATGTTTTGATGGTTTTTTCTACCATCGGAGCGATCATGGTTAAAAAAAACACAGGCCAAATGGATCCAAATGGATTGTTGGTGGGATATGAACTATGACGTGACATGACGTGACCATGTTCCTTTTCAACATATGAATCCGGGTGACTTAAAACCAATGCTGCCTCAAGGTCCCACCCTTAGATGCCCTGAAAACAGGGTCAATGATGTCAATGATTGTCAATGTATACATAGCTGCCACGATTTTTTCAGCCACCACACATGGCAAACGATGATCAACGATGACGGCATTGCCAGGTGCAGCACAGGCACTCGCTCTTCTGCGTTGCTCATTTTATGGTTAGCGAAAGTATCAGGCCATCGCCTAACGGGGCGATCCCGGGACACCGGGGCGATCCGACCTAAAAAGGTCCGGGAACGTGCACCGGACCTCCAGCCTCTACAACAATGTAGAACACGTATCAATATTTCAGAAGATTTGCCAGAAGATGCCAGAAGATGTGGCAGAAGATATGTCAGGAACAGATATCGGATAATGTATATATTTCAAGATAAATGTCGGAACATATGTCAGAAGTTATCAGAATGAATGTTTGCACATATACATGTCAGTCTTTCTTGTCAGAGTGTTGTGGGGGTCGCTTTAACCGCAACTATTTTTAGATGAGCGGCTCAACCACCAATCAGTCAAATCGTATCATTGTTTTCGCAATTTCAACAGGAATAGATGATCAAACAGACGTGACTTTGGCAATTCCACATTTCGAGACAAGCCCCCTGTTCTAGGACAGATTTTGTCGCGGCAGGTCATAACCTGGAAGCCACCCTGCGAGTAGCAGAGGACACAGCAGAGCTGGGCGCTGTGGCGCTGTGCTGTGGAGATTTGTGGAGTCGTGTGAAAGAAAGACATGACCATGACATGGAGTGGATATCGTATCATGACTATTATTTATTGGTTTATTTACTTATTGAATCTTATTGATTTATTTATTATTGATTTAGTCTTTCATTCATTCATTTATGTAAACGCGTGTGAAAAAAGAGTCACATAAAATCATATAGAGACAGAAATAGAGAGAGAGAGAGAGATCCCCTTTTTTTTATCTTTTTTTGCTGATTCACTGATTTCCTGGGTTGTTCCCCACCCAGGACATGAAATGTCTCCGTCGCTTGATGGACTCGGGCTGGGTCCACGAGTGGCTACAGCCAGAATTGAGCCTGAGCGGACAATAGCTTTGCTTGAACAATTGATGATTTGGCCTCAGACATTGCAATATATTGCAATATTGATAGGACAGTGATGATTAGCCCAAAACAGGCCTTTGAACTCTATGATGTTGAGATTGATTGTAACCATGACTATACATTTGTTTCTAGCTTTTTTGGGGTTAGATCGGTATTGATAAACCACCAAGTCTGTCTGAGAATTTGGGGTTTGTCAAGCCTCTATGTTTGGGTGCACCCTGAGATCTTCCGCGGTATGGGTTTGTTTGAGAACTCAGCGAAAAGCAGCAATTCTGAGTGTTTTCACACTCTTTCCATACAAGGTGGTGGTTCCCCAGTTTTAGGTTGGTCTTTAAACCTCATTAACTATAACTATAGATATACCTACCAGAAACCGGTGAACTAGGACCAAACTTAGCTCAGTATGGTATACCATGTGTTTTGAAACCCCCAGAGTCTGATACGGGTGCCATCAGGTGCCCTTGGTTGCAGTTTTTTGGTCGGACAATTCCCCGTGAAGGCAATCAGCGTAGATGATTCCTATTGAACATGCAACATCTCCATGGCAATGTTTATATACTGTATTTATGTGTCCATGTCCTGCGCATTTTCTTGTTGTAAACCGACGGATGTTTGGAGGTCTTCCGGGCATGATGTGATGATCATGATGGTGATGGTGGTCATGGTAGTCATGGCAGTCATGGCACGACTGTAATGGTCTTTTTCAGCTGACGATGCTGCGGAGAAGGGGGAGGAAAATGCAGGCTTACGACAGATGGTTGATGAAGTTGATGACTCCTGCAGACAGAAAATCATTCACACGCAAAGATACTGTAGACTGTACATAACTGTTTGATGGTACTACCATGTACTACCTATGATGAGATCCTTTTTTGTAGTCAACAAGCAGCTGGAAGTTCGAACAAACCCATTGTTTTCAAAGATTGCACCTGTGTGATCAGCCCTCAAAATTGATGCTTATAGACCCTGAAGACCCATATAGACCCATACATTGCGAGTTGGTGCCATCATACCATTAAATGGCATAAGTTCTATTTGGGATATTAAAGCCCCGTAAATTCTTTCAATCTCAATGAGTAAAACGTTGTTTTCATGTGTCCTCATGTTTTTAACTGGGTATACATATCAATCATAAATTCTATATCTTCACATGTGTCCGCATGTTTTTAACTACTAGGTATACATTATAATGTGGTTAAAAACAATAATAAACCACCCATTTGGGAATGGTTTATACCACTTATGGTTATGACTGGGGGATGGTTTATTATTGTTTTAACCACATTACAGTATGTACAATTCCATCATGTTTGCAGTGTCATCACTGCGTGTCGTCGTCGCTGCGCGTTGTCCCAGTTGAGGAATTCTCCCCTGGAGGTGGTACAGCCTTCCGGTTATTTGTTCCTTGGCAGCCCGTCGTGTAACGTAGCTGATGACAGAGGTTAAAGGTTCAGATATCCCATGGATTGTTTCGCATATCCAGTTTGTTATATGATATACAGTGTATTTTTATTTCATATGTATGTGTGCATATATAAATACAATAATACATCTATTTATACATATAACATTGTAATTTCTGCATGCATATACATATACATATATATATACAACATAGATACACACACACATATATATATAGACATATCATTATATCCCCATGATTATCCTCAATATCATGAAATCATGTTGTGATCTCATGGGTCTCATAGCGAGGTTGGAAGCCTTTTTTGAAGCCGCCACTTCGAGTCTCAGCTACCTGGTGGTTTGCAAAACCACTAAGGCCACCAAGGGAGATTAAGGGAGCCACGTTGAGTAATCCTTTTGAGGGTATAGGCTATAGGATATATTATATATATACACACACATATATATATACATATCTATTACTATTAATTTTTAGAGTAGATTTGTTTAGCTGGTCTGTTTTTTTTTGGAGAAAAAAAACAGGATACTTACTGTAAGGTTATATCATAATATCCATTCACATCCCCTTGACTAAAAGCACAGCAGCCTGGGAATACATCTCAAGAACCGATGTTGCTTTTTGTGATGTATTAACTCAAACGTCCCCCCAAACATGGCAACATGGCACGCACCTCTGGAATTAAAACAGATGAGATCAAGGTACAATTCGGTTCATGTTATACTGTTATACCCAGATTTCGATTTCGGCAAGCAACGTTCACTACTTCGAGCCCACCATTTGTGGATGCCTCGAATGGCAGGAAGCAGTGCTGATCGACCCCTCCCTGAATCGGACGGAGGCGTATCTGGAGCTGTTGGATGAAGCTGGAATCAATCTGAAGCGCCTTGAGCTGGCAATGAATGCTGTTATTTTTTCCCCTGAACGTCAAGATCAAGAGCCCTGGCCTTGTCATCCGGTTGTCAAGCCCATCTCCTGAGGTATGTGATCAACACACACTGCCACTATGACCACGTCAGTGCCACAGGCTGCCGCATCCCAGCGGGTGACATGTTTCGCATGCTCGGGGGGATCCCATTGCTCGCTGAGATTAGTCCCATCTTTTTGGGGTAAGATGAGTGGCAAAGAACCTGTCTCTGTGGTAGAGGGTTTGCAAATTTCTCAACCTGGAGGATGTGTTTTTGTTTTGCGTTCGAAGTTCTTGAAACCAGAAAACACGGCGGGAACCTGACAAAGAAAAATAGAAGAAAAACCCTCAGATCCTCCGTGGCCATGGGAACATATCCAAAGTTGGTGGATGATCATCCAGTTTCATCAGGAATCTGCAACAAATCCTGCTGAGCTCACGTTTGCTGTAACCTCACCAGCCTCAATTATCTCAATTGCATGTTGGAAATCCGCTTTTGCCTGGATGTGTTGCCCCATCCAGAAAATATATTTTAACAATAAATAAGCATGGTCACGGCGTGCCACAAAGTGGGGCCCCCAGTTCTAAGTTGGTTTATATATGTTTATATGTTTATATGTTTATAAGCCCCCATTCACTATAGCTATATATAAGATGTTGTAAAGATATAGTATAATCATAAACCATGGTATACTATAAATATATATATATATATATATCATAAACCATAGTTCTTGGAATTATAAACCCACTTCGCAAAATCTCATCATTTCCCAGTCCCTCCCCCAGGCAGCGATGCGCTGCGGGCGCGAAGCTCCGGTCTGCGCCTCTTGAGTTCCAAGGAGTCCGGCGCGGCAGCGGATGAGTTCCGGGCAGAAAGCTGGGGGATGGACGTGGTAGGGTGGTGCATGGTGCTACCAGCAAGATAAGCTATGGCAGCTATGGATTACCAAAGTGGAGCGTTGACCAGTAGAAATGTGGATTCAAACAATGACAATCTTTGTACACCAGCAACAATTGGGGGCTAACCAATAAACATGAGGATTTGAACATGATTTTGCATCCACAATTTTGGATCTATACCCTATGGATCCTCTGGTATGGATATGTCTTTCAATGGGATCTTGAGGCAGCCTGCTTGGCCCACCAGCCGGCAAGTTCATGATGAACCCCCAAAACGTCCCAAAACGGATCCAAATGGATCCCAAAGTTGCAAACCTGGCAACTTCCATCCATTTTTTTGCTAGAGTAGTTGGATTTGTCCGCTCCAAATATGACCGGTTCGATATAGTTCGATGCTCGAGGATGTCTGTGTGTGTGCGCGTGTTTTTTGATGTTTTTAGTATACGATACCTGGCAACATCCTGACAAACTATGTATTATATAAATGGGAGTAAATGGGGATGTTCCTTATGCCGTTTGACGAGTCGAAACGGATGTCGTGGATTTGTTGTTTTGGTCTCTCCCTGACTGGTGACTTGACACAATTGGAAACATTCAAGCATCGAAAGAAAGTGGGGAAGACGTACGTTCTCCCCCATAACTAGCCCATGAGAAAGGAACACGAAACGCACAAACTTGCCATTTGCAGATCCAAAAGATATAAAAACTAACAACAAATCGAACATGGGACTCAAACACTCTCAAACATTGTGCTTGTACATGTCAGATCCGAAGAAAAAAACCCCTATTCTGTACCAAAGTTTAACAATAGTTAACCCCAAAATCACCCAGTCTAAATAATACACCAGCACCATGGAGCCTTTGGCGCCAGTGATTTCAGGTTCCTTTGTCATGGCCAACTGGTCCATTTTGGCAACTACCGCTTAGAGGTCCGTGCCACACCAGGCCCCGGATTAGGATAGGAGGGAGATGTCCAGGACGGGGACGGGAGACTGGGAGGTGCTATGCCGCCCTTTCCCATCATTTTTTTAAAGAGAGCATTTGTATGAGCCCTTCGTAACTCATGATGAAAGGGTCCACGCGAATTTCACCTCAAATCAAGGCAGTGACTATCATTAGGTGATTAACTATCATTAAATATCCATTGTTGGTACTTGACTCAAGTTAAATTTTCAAAAATCACGGCTTGAATTTGCCCATCTTTTTCACAAAGTTCAACTTCCCAAACGTTTCGGCTCCTTGCCCGTCCACATCCGTCGTCTCGTTGTGTCAGGCCACACCGCGGGGTGTTTGACCTACGTCCTGCAGGGCCCTGACGACCCCAAGGTCACCTTCACGGGGGACACCTTGTTGGTCCGCGGCTGCGGGCGGACGGACTTCGCCTCAGGCGGACTATGGGACTATGGGAGTGAGCTCCAGATGTTGGGAACCGAACCCCTACCATATATATTTTATGGTTATAATATGGTTATGATATGGTTATATAAGCCACTTACTAGTGGAACTGCACCTGCAAGGAACTAAGTAAGTATCGGTGACATTGGAGATGGTTAGCTATTAGGTTTACCGCCGTATAAATCCATAATATGCCCGCATCTCTCATGATTTTTCTTTGCCTTATGCCAATCCAACATCATCACAACCCAGCACGGCAATGTGACAATAATGGATTGTAAAATCGTGTAAATGTGTTCACATGGAAAACATTGGAAAACCCATCAATACTGGATGTGCGTCATATGCTTTTTGAGTGATCAAAGGGACGCCCCCCCCCTTTTTTGGGCGCGAAATGCACGATGTTCATTAATTAGACCTTCATGTTTGGAGGTGGAAGCCTCCCATACTTGGGGGATCATCCCATTTTGTAAATGAGCGGCGGGTTTTACCCTATTGATCTTTCAGAAAACTGATTAGAATGAAATGGGACATATGCCATCTAAGAATTCCCCCCTAATTCTTAAGAAATACCCCAAGCAAGTGACCGCAAAGTAACCCCATATAATCCCATATATAAGTCCAATAAAAAATGGACTATCCAATCGGAAACTGGGGGTAGCTATAGTACACCCCAGAAAGATCCAGAAGTAAAATCCCAGCAAAATACTGAGAGAATTGTTCCTTTTCACGAAAGGTAGCCTAGGCTACCTGAGTTCTATGTACTTTAGTACTAGTTTAGTACTGGGGGAGGTGGGTGGTCCTTTCCCGGAAATTGAGAGCCGAGAGTCACGAACGGAGACTTAGGGGGGGGGCCCCCCCCCATTCGATTCCCCCCTGGTCCGCATCTCTTTCTTTCTTTTTCTCTGACTATGTACTTACCTCCTTATCCATCTATCTATCCATGTATCTATCTATTTAGTTGTCTATCTATGTATCTATTTATCTATCTATCCTTCTATGTATCTATCTATCTATCTATCTATCTATCTATCTATCTTTTTATCGATCTATTTAGCTATCGATCTATCTATTTATCGATCGATGCTTCTATCTGTCTATCTATATCGTATCTATCTATCTATCTATCTATCTATCTATCTATCTATATCCTTCTATCTCTATCTATCTAATCTATCTATCCATCTATCTATATATATATATATATCTATATATCTATTTATCTATCTATCTATCTCTCTATCTATATATCTATCATACATACATATGCATGCATGCATGCATGCATGCATAACATACATACATACATACATACATACATACACACAGACATACGCACATACATACATACATACATACATACATACATACATACATACATACATACATACATACATACATACATACATACATACATACATACATACATACTACATACATACATACATACATACATACATACATACATACATACATACATACATACATACATACATACATACATACATACATACATACATACATACATAC